AATTAAAATTAAATAAAAAAAGGTAAAAAGAATACTGACCCAATCGAAAAATCAATCGAAATGAAATTGATGTCGATTTTTGAAATGATTTTCGATATTTGAAATTAATTTCAATTCCGAAATGATTTGATATTCATTTAATGATATTTAAACTTCAACCGGAACACCTATTTAGAAATGATTAATCGATTCTAAAATTGATTCCAATCCCTAATTGTAAAATAGCGAGAATATTAAATACATGTTCTATGAAAATCATTCAATATCTTCAACTTCCTTGAACTTATGTTTCTTTTTTCAACCCATTTGACTATAACAGAATCTGAATTAATTTGACAAATACACATATTATATACTGAAACGTCATTTATGAATAGCAATAAATAAAAAAAAAAGTCTCAAAGGTAATTAAAAAAATTGTTATTAGAATTATTAAATTGAAAAATTATATTCGCAGGACAAAACCCTAAACCTATTTTGGCAAAGTCAAACTTTTCAGAAATCATTTTGAGTTTCGATGGGTTTCGGTGGGATTTGACGGGATTTGACGGGATTTGACGGGATTTGATGGGTCTCGAAAGTTTCGACAGTTTCGAATAACAACTTTGCGAATTTGACGGTTAACAGGTTTATTGTATCACAATATTTTATTTTAATTAGAACAAAGTTTTCAAAATAATACATTATTTATCGAGCAGGTTTTAAATTTGGAAGCACTGGTACTTGTTGAATTAGAAAAAATTACCTTATGAAGAAGATGATGATAAAGACCTACATTATAATTTTAAAATAGAAAATAAAAAAATAAAAATCGAAAAATAAAAGAAAAAAAAACCCTACACTAATTAGCAGACCAAATCTGATAAAAAAAAAAAAAAAAGGAAAATCGAAAGTTAAAAAAAAAAAAAAATTTGTTTGGCATATTGTGATTGGTTAAAATAGTTTTTTTATAATTTGTCAGAACTGAAATTGGAATGATCTCAATTCCAGACACTCAAAGATCATCGAAATCAATTTCAGTCTCAACAAATCGATTCTAATTCGATTTTAATAGATAGAATCACTTCCAATTAAGTAACTCATTTAAATTATTAAGACATGAAAAATCTTAATATTAAAGGATTTTATTCCTTCTTTTGCGTTATTTTATTTTCTCTTTTCATTCTAATCGTTACTGTTATAATTTTTAAAAGAAGAAAAAAACATTTGGGGGCGGTCAGTAGAAAAAAGGGAAATCCACTTTTTAGTTTACTCTGCTGATCATGGTCATGTGAACGAAAGGGTGCCGTCCGAAAATCCCGAAACTCAAAATCCCGATAGGTCAAAATCCCGAAAATATATTTTTATTATATTAGATTTAAATTAATTAGATGTTCAAATATATATAGCGGAGTAGTTTAAAGGAAATTTATTACGCAAACTTCTTTAATTACTAAATAGTATTTCGTAACAAGCAACAAACTTTTTATTAATTTTTTTTAAGATAATATAATCTGATAAAAGTTTATTAATACATATACAATATATTTGTTATTTTTATTAGTACAATTATATACGAAATATTTAAAATGATAAAAAAAAAAGGCTAAGATGGGGTCTGGGCTCAGAATCCGAAAAAAATATCGAAACTTAATTCCAGGCAGTATTAAAGTTTAATGCGGGCCAATTTTTCAAGATTTCGTACCTGTCGGGATTTTGAACCTGTCGGGATTTTGGATTTCGGGATTTTGAGTTTCGGGATTTCGTACCATACCCAAAAATAAAAATGCGCGTCGATCACGTTAATGTTCGAAATGTAATGAATGGTTGACTGCTTTTTTTTTTTTTACTTTATTTTAATTTTTTTTTAACAATGGATTTGAATATTTTGAGCGATATGATAAAAAAAAAAAATATTTGTTGTGTAAAAATATATAAATAAATAAAGTAATGTTCCGAGATCGGGGTCGACTGTTCATAAATCTACTGCAGTTATGACTAAATCAGTTCATTCCGATTATGAAATCATAAAATTAAATTATTTCTTAAATGTTGAATGAAAAAAGAAAAAAGAATTAGGATACCAAAATGGTTTGTCCGAGGATAATTTACAGTATATAAGGTTTGCCTGACTTTTCGTCAAGGGAAAAAAATTAATTCACTCATCATGAAGAAAGGTTTATTATACATTCTTATACATTATTCATCGGCAGTTATTGCTGATTGGATCACCGTAGAACATGATTTTAGTATGTGCGACCAGGTCGTACCTTCTAAATATGCAGCGTTCCATATAAACGATGATGGCATTACTTATTCGACGTCTCTTATTATCAGAGATGTTCAAACTATAAATCATGAGTTACCATTAACAACTTTAAACATCACTATGTGGGGATGTACTTATGATTGTAGCTTCAGCTTTATGGTGAAATTAAACAGGACAGATCTTTCGGTTTTGTCATATACCGAAAAAAACCTTAATAACTACAAGTGTAATTTAAGTAATTATACCCTTAACCTTATTCCGACCCCTAAAATTACATATAACCAAATACGACCTAATCCAGAACATATATTTCCAACCGATCTAACTGCCCAGTATTGCAAAGAAGGTAAACACCCAGATGAACCCGATTTTCGAATTGATCAAACAGAACACGTAGCCGAATGCATCGATAATTTGACTGGTAATGAAGTTGGAACATACGCAGCATCTCTTCAGTTCGGTTCTCGCAGCTCGTTCAATCCTGAAGGTTATGGTGTTGCCACATATCACATGATTAATTCGGCAAACAAGCTATTCGATCATTGGGAGAGTCACCATCGAGGGTACCATGATGCCCTTAGTGAACTAAGTGTTAAAATGACCCCCGATAATCTAAAAGAATTGATCCCACCACCGCCGCCACCGCCTAAAGTAAACTGGTTCAGACTTTTTATTATGATAGGCGTTGGCTTTGCCTTGCTTGCTGTATTTGCAGTTGGATCATATTTGTATAGTGCCTTAACTGCTACCGCAGAAACCTCCGAAATCGCTGCCGAATCTGCTGCTGCAGAAGATGTTATAGCAACATCAGCTGAAGGATCGGCAGCCAGAACTGCGGCGGAAAGTTATCTAGATGAAAATGGTTTGGTAGATGATGCAAGGTTAGAAGAGATATTTCGGGAGATGCAACCTTGCTCTTCTTGCTTTCCTTGTCTTACTCAAGCTAGTAGTCCTTGTTCTGCAATGGAAACTCTCGCGAGATACTATCGAAGAGAAGGAGACGTGGAAATGGCATCGTATATTAGATCATTATATGGTGGTTCATCCTCAAGGAAAAAAAGAGATACGGGAACGATGGATAATGTAGGATTTTTTACGGTTAACATGATGAATGTATACTTTCTTCCCAGTTTAACGGACGATCTTCATCAATCACTTACCGGAAACGGGCAAAGCTATGCAGATATTTCATCATATCTATCAGCCGCAAGTGAAAATCTCCAATTTCATTTTGAAGATACATTACACAATAATTTCTTTGCTGCTAACAAGTCAATATTAGCTAGTTTTACTGTTAATCAAAGGGTGCATAATTATAATTTGCTTGACAATGATGATGACGTATACGATACTATTAAAAGCAAAACATATAACACTATGGCGGCAACAATCATAAGCGAAACCTTACGAAATGTTAATGTTGAAATATGTGACCCGAAACCTTCATTTTGCGGACAATCTTGTGATTCTGGTCATATTTATTGTCCAATAGTCGGAAATAATACTAATAACTGTGTAATAACTGCTGTAGATAGCCAATTAAAGGAACTTAATTTTCTTCGTGATACCTTTGATATATGTTCAAATGATAAAAGTACTGGTTGGAATATAAACCATAATAATAATTGTGATATTAAACAATTCCAATGTAAATAATAGGTCAAACGTGAATGCAATATTTAGTATCGATAATTTCGAGATTTTAGTATTATTTGCAATCTATTATTTTTAAAATGTTTTATCTTGTAATATACTGATAATAATATTTATAATATTTAATTATATTCATTTTGCCTCAAAACTGGAAAGAATTAAAGAATATTTACCAAATTGAACTAATTCGATTCAAACTGAAGGGATCCATCCAATCAATTAAGGATACTATCATTTGAATAAAATGAGTTAAGGATAAGATTATAATATCGAAAATGAAAAAAAAAGAGAAGAGTTAAGGTAATAGTAAAAATATTCTGTGAAAAAGAAATAATTTATTAAAATGTAATAATAAATTTTACCTTATATAATTTATTAAAGAAAGTTACTGAAAATCATAAGGCATATTCATTTCAAAGCATGGACGGAAAACTCAGAAGTTTTATAAATATTTGTAAATGAGATGTTAGAAAAGGTTCTATTAAAAATAAACTTAACTAAAATAACAAATATAACATAGAACACGTTCATGTTAAAAAGGGCTGACACGCATTAAGTTACGAGATCGTTTTCTTTGCGGAACGATTTTTTCAGACCATTTGTAACGGTATCGAACTTCATTAAAGATGGTTGAAAATTCGATTTACCGATCATTGGCGTTTGATCATATTGATTTACATATGTATATACTTTTTTAAAATTTAAATTGAAGAATTATATTATGATAATTGATTTTTTTTTTAAATTTTATGGCATCAATCAATTGGTGTGCTTGCACAATTTGCGGAATTTCCCAAATCTGCGAGAGAAGCGCCAGATAAAATCCCCATTTGAATGGTGTGGAATCTTGTAAGGCAGCAGAAAATCCGACTCAAAACTGCGCATAAAGGATAAAATCAATATAACAACAAAGTTTCGTTTAACATTTTAAAAAGATGTAATTTGAAAATTTACTAAATGAAAAAAAATGTCACTTCAATGCATCTTTATTTTAAATTAATAAACAATTAAAAATGCAAATAAGAAAATAAAAATAAATACAAGATAAAGAAGATAAAATGCAGATAAATCATTAATCATGAAAATGAAAATGAAAAATTCATCTATTAAAGGCTTTTTGTACCTCTCCTATTTTATACAGAGCATCCCTGATTTTTTTACCGTAATCAGTTGCTGACGGAGTAGGTCCCAATCTAAATTGTTCAAAAATTCCATCCTTATCCTTTTTCCCTTTAAACAGTCCAATCTGATATTCAGACCAAGGTTCTCCCGGAGGCATTTCCATACGAGACAATTTTTGGTAAATCAATTCGGCATTATCTTTCACGTCATCGTGTGAAGTGAGATTTTTATTCTTGGAACTCATACAATGAGCATTAATCTCAGTGAATAATCCTCTGAATATTTTGATTCCAAGTAATAGGACCGTCAGGTTCATTAAAAGTCGACGAAAAACATTCGGATTAATTGTATCTACCATCGAACTTTCCCACACTGGATCCTCGACCATAATTTAATATAATATAGTTTTTTTTTTTGTATTTAGGTATATGAAAACGACACGACGGAAAGGTTAAAATCTCTGTCTTCTTTTTATATTGAAAATTTAGCTACATTCTTTTTTCACAGATCAAAATATATAATCAAAGATTTTCAACTTGTTGTACAACCTTGTGCGACATAATTATTACAAAGTAAAATGATTTCCATTAAAAAATCCTTAATGCATGAAAGAAGTGATGAAGAATTTTCGCACGAGACTCCTTATCTACTTTATTGAGGGAATTTCGCTAGGGAAATTACAACGTTAACTGCGGGTAATGAATTCAACATGTTAATGTTGGGTAGAATAAGAATAGAGTATGGCAATATCCTTTGGATTGTCGAAGGTAATCACCAAACACATAGATACAGTAATTTTAGTCATACGATTGAAATCACATTCAAAAAAAAAAAAAAGATTAAGACCGTGCGTTTAAAATAAATGCGGTGAATACTCGTAAAGTCATATGATGCCTTTTTTGGTGTAAAATTTTTCTTTCCATAATCAATGTATAAATAACCCGGTTATTCATTTTTCCTTTTTACAAAGCTTATTGACATACATTCATATCGTCAAGTCCCACATGATGACATTTTATTGTTAACGATTTATGTTTATTGTCGTTAGAAGGTCATTCTGACATGCGCATGGGAAAATGGACAAAATATTTGTAACGCACGAATATGGCGGTTATTTAGGTTATTTTTATTTGTGATTATTTACGGATTTTTAAAATCACTTCAACGATTTATCTAAATTATTGATTACAATGTCATCATTATAGTTGGAGTCACAAAATATCTAGGGCACACTTTCGTTAGACCTCATTTTCAATTTTTACGCAATTATGCTTAAAATTATATATTTATTGTAGTACGAAAAAAATGTCATAAATCTGGCCAATCATATTCAACGTTGCGTTGGTTAATAACGACAATGTTTGTTTACCATAAAATTATTTCCGTGATTTAATATAGTTTTATTGTAGGTGTAAAAAAATAACAATTGTTCATCATTACTATTGTTCTTATTGAACAACTGTTAAGTTGCAATACTAGAAATAAAATCTTACATTTCCTTCATCGATACGTCTTCATATGTTTTCATCGACTTGCCAACTTTCAAAATGTTTGAAAACAACAAATTTGCAAAACGCAAGCAGTTTGGGGATTTTTCAATAAAAATGCATCATACATATCACTAATTCAACTGACGAAGCCCCTTTTGGTAATACCGACATAATTATTTATCCTATCCGTGCAGGACTCCAAAATTTAAGTGGAATGATATTACACAGATTCTAAAATATTTAATTTTAATCAGGTAAAAAAACGTTATTTACTAATCTTTCATTAAAATTTAAAACTATTTAAATCCGCACCTCGCAACTAAACGGGTTTCGAAAAATGCCTAAAGTTTAAATGAATTAGCACTATCCTTCAATTTTTATGATGAGACAAATTTTGTAAGAGACTACTTACCGGAACGATCCTTCCGTTTTGTGAGATAGTCAACTAACTGAAATCCTTCAAACGATGAATGATTAGTTGGTTTGTTTTTAAAGCTAAGGTGATAAATTAAATGATCTCACAAATATTACATCATAATAACATTAAATTTCTTCTGTATTTTCTTTGATCTATTATTTTTAAATCGAAATAAAATTTCTTTGATTTTAAAAATGTTATTAATGCTCTAATACTTTGGCATTATAAAATAAATGGTGACGAAAAATTGTTTATAAGCGAGAAAGCTAACAAATGTGGCGTAGTATTAGATAAGCATATTAACTTACCTGAGGGCGAATACGCTAACCCTACGAAATTCCAACATTTGCCAAGATATTGTTCAAAAGCGTCCTCCGGCAAAGTGGACGTTATTACAACATGAAAAGGAGTTATTTGTTGGAAATAATTATATTTATAAGTACTTACAAATCTTTTTTATTCGAAATTGCAAAAGGTCTTTGGACGAATTTACAGAATAGTTCCGTACCGATTAAAATATTATAGAGTACAGTACGTACGGTTTTCAAGATACTAAAAAAATTTGTTGTGTTCAAATTCGGCCTAATAAAATTGTTTTTACAATCATCTTTGTTTCTGCATAAATTTTTACAGGGAGTAAGTAAATGGAGTAAATGGAAAATATGATATTCTATAGATTCAAATTTGAATTAGAGTTCTGTAGCTGTGCCGCTATTAATGCTTTATAAATTATATAATATTTTATTGAAATTTTTAACATGATTGTAGAAGAGGTATATTTTTTTTGTATTTTTTTATCAGCAGCAAATGCTTCTCTATTTTAAGATTTAGGTGTTTTTTATTTTCTTTTCATTTTTTTCTTTTCTTGTATATTTGTTTTGTTTCGCCCGTATTTAAGATATTTCTGAGTAGTTTTTTTTTAAAATTTAATATATATCGTTTTTTTTATATCCTTTTAAAATTTCATAGTAAGAGTGAATGTGAAGAGACGGAACGTTTTATGTCCTACTTTTTTATCTTACTTATGTTGATGATTTACCTATATTTGGGAGTCGAATGGGGGCAAATCTTTTTTTTTTTTAAAAAAAAAAAAATTAGCTTGTCTTTGCACAACATACTATTCCTAATTCCCCTTTAAATTTCGATATAATTTGATTACTATTCAACCAAGAGAATAAATAAACAGCTTAGTCACGTAGGATAATTTATTTGTTCATTGACGTACGACTTGTAATCATTTATCTACATTTCAACTATTGGTGTTTTGGAAATTCAATGAAGACATATTATGCCAGTGTATAATAAAAAACGATGCAAACAAAAAAAAAAAAAAAAAAAATTCGAATTTATTATTTCGTTTGATCCTTTTTCATATAATATCAATAAAGGTTCGATTGTTAAAAAAAATGTTGTTCTGTCATCACAAATGATTATTGAAATTTTAGAATTTCGGTGATACATTTCATTTTCAGTTTTCATCGTTATCCTGACGACAAAACCATGAGTTTAATGGGAAAAAAATGTTTACAAAAATCAATTTTGTTCAATCGAAAAACACGCTTATATAAAGCACTGGACTTATGTTATTTTACGGATTGATATGTTTCTTTTAATGTACGGAGGAGAGAACCATTTTATATTAATTAATATTGAGGACGAGAAGGATTAAACAAAATATATTTCTCGAATACAGCGGATTTTTTTTTGAATAAATGTACGGCTTGTTATTTGGTATTTGTCTAAAAATAAATTTAACTAATGGGTGATGATGATCATTTCATTATAATTGATTTGAAATTTTTTTTCCGTCATTTTGGAAAATCATTCTTCTTCTAATAATGTAATTATCAAAGTTTGTATTTAGTATTTTACGCCTTAAGCTTTATACAAACAATTAGAAATTTTAAAATACATTTTTACGACGTCTTTAATGAATCAATCCATCTACATTTTAAAAAATTTTAATAATTAAAAATTTTTTTTAAAATTAAACTCTACTCAATATCAAAAATAAAGCACAAGAGAACATTTTTTTAATATTTTTTTTTATCTTTAATAGCTGTATATACTACAGTCTCCAATGCTGTACCACACGGAAATGATGTGCTTCTTCGAAGAGATCCACAAGCTTCAAAACATCCAAAACATCCTAAGCATCCTAAAACATCCATGATGTAAAATTAAATGAAGGTACGTGTGTAATCGAATTAGATTACTCGTTAATTTGTTTGTATATCGAAATTTCAAAATCATAGAATAATAGCCAAAATTAGGATTTCGAGATTCTTATTTTATTGTGTCAGTTTTCTTTTTATTTATAAAACTGACTCATCGCTAAGTTTTATAATAGACGATTCGACTTTTGAAAATAAAACGCTCTCTTCATTTTAATCGATTTTGTTTAATCCAACTATTTCTTTATCATTCATTTAATATGTTTTATTTTTTTTTTTTTTATTAAAATTTACTTTACCATCAATCATTTTAATGTCAAATCACGAATTTGGAATTTTAAACTGATTTTGTTTTAAAATAAGGTTTAGTATAGAAGATATTGCATAACTTTTTTATAATTGTTAAATTTCAAATAAACAAAGGCATGAGTGATCGTAATGTAGTGCAACCTAGAAAATTACTTGGTGATGGTGATTGCATTTTGAGCATATTCTGATAAAGATCTCGCATAAGTACGTTTTTCAACCCGATAATTGGCTAGTCAACTGTTTAAACCCTCTATAGTCATTTCTAAAATCTATACTCATTTGCTCCATTCAATGCTCTAAAGCTTTCTCAAAGATTTAACCGTTTTGTTCCTATTGATTTATTCAGATACCGAGATACCCAGATAGAAATGAGAAATAATATCATGAACCATCTATTTGTTTCGTTTTGTGACTCCGCACTTTTTTCGAAATTACCAAGCCAAGTAAAAAAAGATAAACGTGGGCAAAAAAAAAAAAAAATTACGAATCCAAAAAAAAAAGTGGAAAAAATTGCATCGTGTCGCAAAATTTGGAAGCAAATTTTACAAATAAATAAAAAATTTTTTTCTCTAACGCGGATTTTAATTAATTTATAGAAATTTGTCCCTCTCGATATTCAATATACGACATACGTTTTAAAAAATAAATTAGTAGAAAATTTATAATGGGAAAAGCAAAGCAGATTTTTAGAGGCAAAACAATGTTACGCAAAGCTTTATTTACGACAATATTAGTCGATTAATCGTATAAAATCACAAGTTAAGAAAAGCAAAACTCCCTGCTTCGATGGGAAAGTTGAGTCAGCAGATAGTTGAAATTCTTTGTATCGTAGGGCTTGTCAATTCTTGAACATTCTGGACCTTAAGAAGGTTTCGCAGATGTGTTACTTCGGATCGCATATGGTTGCAATGAAAACGAAGGTTCTCGTGAATTGTTCGTTGTTCTCTGAACCTATTATCATAACGGGAGAGATGAGAAGAAATTTCATTTAGTCTATTGCACAACATTTCATACAAACAGATCCAGAGCTGTCTTTTTGTTGGAATTTCAGCCTTCATGCTTGCAACGTAAGCTTCTTTCTCCTGGAGGTTCCTTTGGCAGCGTGCATGACATTGAGGTTTTCCCATATTGAATAATATAAGAGGTGTCGTACATTCCGGAAATGGAGTTATAAATTAGTTAATTAACATCGGCCTTATAAGGGAGGTGTGGCCATAAAGGAGGTGTGACAAGGGGGTCGACTGTATGTATAATCACCAAATAATATTTTATCATTTTTTTTTAATTAAAAAAATTGTAATTAACACCATTAAATAAAAAAAATAAAATAAAAAAATACCAAAAAATTCGTGTCAAAATTGATTTATATACATTTCTAAAAAATAAAATAAATAGTAGATAAAATTTGTTCAACCAGATTTAATAAATCCGATTCAGAATTAATTAATCGCCGTCTCAATGGCCAATGTAACATGACACACGGGAGAGTTTTTTCAATATAATTAATTGTATATATCTTCGTTTACGAAGAAGAGTATATGTGCGAAATTTTAAGAAAGTAAATTTCATGTAAATTCTACACATTTGATTCAAAAAGTATGAAACCGTTTTTGCATTATTCTTAAAAGATAATTCTAATACATTAATTAATCACTTCATTTTTGTAATTGAAAATCTTTTGGAAAGAATGTTGTTGTGTTAATAAGGTCTTTTCACGGGGGAAGTTTTAAGAATTAGTTTTATTTGTTTGGCAATTACCTGTAAACGTTCATTCGTTCAATGATTTCAAACATGGAAGTTTCTTTCGTTTTGAACTATTCTTTAATATATACATATTTATACCTGACTTTGCTTATGTTTGGATTTGAACTTATTGGATGAATGTGCCATGAAAATATAAATAGATTGTTCTGTTATTGATATGTGATAAATGGTGAGTCAAGTGTGTGCAATTCACTAATAATACAAATAATACAATATTTTGTTTTAAATAAATCGAACTCATGATAGTTGTATTATTTTGTTATAACCATTCTGATGTGATTTATTTATTATAATGCAAGTCCTAATATGGGTCGGATTGCCTATAAAGAAACCGATGATCCAATTTGTGCTCGTGATTTTTAAAAAAAGATTTTTTGAATTGTTTCCGAAATTATTTTATTCCTATCGAGGATAACTCCTTTTTTTTTTCAAGACCTATTATTAAATGATGTAAATTCTTCAAAGAAATCATTTACAAAAAAACATTGTTTGACGAAAGTTTTAAAAAATGATCGCCGCCATCCAACTTAATTGAAATTAATATTTGTTACACCAGTTACAAACAATTACAAACAATTAAAATGCCATTTCTTATTGTTCGACATTAATCATGACGATTCCTTTCTCCATTTAAAACCTTTTTTTTTTCATTAAATAGTTTTATTAAAATGCCTCGCCAACTTCCTGCCGACTGTTTAAATGAAATATTTGAGATATTGGAAGACAAAGCTACTTTACATTCATGCTTGTTTGTTAATCGTCTTTGGAGTGAAGTTTCGGTTAGAATCCTATGGAGAAAGATTTGGAATTATAATACCTTAATTGACTGTCTTCCCAAAGAATCAAAAGAAACTTTATATAACAATGAAATTATTACGAAACCATCCTTGAAACCTCCACTCTTTAATTATGTATCGTTTCTTAGACGTCTTTCAATTGATGAAATTGTTAGAAAAATTTCTAGTATCCTTAGAAATCATCACCCTTTCGCTTCAGAAAGCCTTATCGATATCAAGTTTGCAATAATAATTCAGGAAATATTTAAAATGTTTATGAGCCGAATTTCTTTAAAGATACTGGTCATTAGATCAAGTAACATTTCAAACATTACATTTTCCTTTTATCCTGGAGCAATCGATTGTTTAAAAAATCTTTCAGCGTTTGGCTGTTGTTCAGATATCTGTTCAGAATTTTTTCATCAACTATCTCAAATATGTCGTAATGTACAATCACTAAGCTTCACTCTTAAATCAGTCATTTCGAATGGATTAACTGAATTGATCTCTGTTCAGCAAAATTTAAAGAGTATAAAAATCTATCAGTCATATTTATGTAAAAGTTTGAAAAGAATAATTCCCTTTTTAGCAAAACATTCAAATACTTTAACCAAAGTAAATATCAATGGGGTTTATGATGAATCATTACTATTTCTCGTTAATTTAGAAAACTTGCAAGAACTTATATTATACCATTATAATGATTGTTACGAAGATTTTAAAACGTTACAACATGTTGTCTTTCCACATTTACGAATTTTAAGATTAAAACATCAATCCATAAATCCAGTCTACCTCATCAAATTCTTGGAAAATAATGGTAATACTTTGGAGAAATTTCGATTTATTAATAATAATAATTCAATAAATTTAGCAGTTGGTAAATTTTGTTCAAATCTGAAATTATTATGTACCAACTTTATGAGGAATGAGGCGGAAACGTTAATAGGAGTTTTAAGTAATTGTCATCGATTAGAAGGTATTGAAGTTTTGTGTGGGGATTCCTATTTAAATGAAATTGAATTATTTAAGATTGTTGCAAAGTATTCACCAAAGCCTTTTTATAAATTAACATTACATTTATATAAAACACATTCAAAATTATTGACAAAAGAACTGGAATCCTTTTTTACAAGTTGGAAGGATCGTACACCACAAAAACCACTTAATTTTACTATCAATGCAGCACAAGCCGTGAATAATTTAGATTTTAAAAAACAAAATATGAAAGTAATTGAAAAATTTGTTAAATTAGGTGTTATTAAAAATTTTACTATGTCAGATTGAATCGAGATTTTTATTGAATTTTATTTAAAATAATTAAGGGTACTTTACTCAATGAATTTTTAATTTTAAGAAAGGAAGTTGTATTAGTATTTTATAAAATCTGATTAAATGAGTGAGATTGTTAATAAAACGAAACCAGGAGCAAAATTCCCTTCACACCACAATCAAAAGTTTTCCACGTGTCAGAACGCGCTGTCAATTGTCTTCCGGATAAAAACAGGACCGATCATTGCTCATTGCCAACTATCATTGACCTCACATCCCTCGAATGGCAATATATTAACGTAATGGTTACACATTATTATTTTTTTTAATTATAATACTAATTCGAATATTGGAATATAACTTTTTTATTTGTATTACAAATCAATAATATGATTATTTCTTAACCTATATATAATATTAATGTCATCATTATTTCCTTCAAAGAAGGATCGATACATATGGCGATACGGAAGTTCTCAATAAAGCTGACGAAAAGAAAAAAGAAATATTAGGAAAAGTTCTATAGGTTCTCTGAGAAAAGGTAAACATATTAGTAGTCATGCCAAACACCACTAGGGAGAAGTGGTTCTTATAATATCATGATAATACTGTAGTTACCAAAAGAGGAACATGAATGTGCAAGCCGTGAGTTAAGCAATATGTTTGTGAATTCATTCCGTAATACATACCTAATTTTTCGTATTTATCAGACAACTATAAATGCAATTATTCAGGAACTTCAAACACTTAATTCATTGCACAAAATATCAATAATTTAAAGACATTTTATTTTAAAAATAAAACTTCAAAAACTTATTAAATTATGATCGACAAATAATGCGATGAAAGCAACCAAAAAAATTTATTTTTTATCTAATTAGAACAAAAAATTTTTTCCGATTCATATTATCGCCATTGGTTATTTTTATTAGTTACCAACTAGATTAGGTTGGTGTGCGGCGACTTTGTCGTCGCAAGTTATGGTTATTATACTGCCTTAGTTGTAATATATCCTTTATTAAGTTATCGCCGTGACGAGCCGAAGGGTCCATCCGAAGTTCCGCGCTCGCATTCGTCCGAAAGGGCGGAATCTGCCCTAACCTATAAAATCGAAAAAAAATATTAATTAACAACAATAAAATAAACAATATAACATACCTGACTGCGCCTTTGCAATAAGCCAAATCTACTTATCTAACCTATAAAATCAAAAATCGAAAAAAATAAACAAAATTATTAATCAATAATTAACTTATTATTAATTAAATCAATAATCAACAATAGGAATA